GGGGGGGGAAACAAATAGGAGAGAAAGGCCTAAAAACCTTTCTTTAAAAAAAAGCCTTTTTATTAAACTTGTGTTTCTTTCCATTACGCCTCTTGTAAAACTTTGGGATTGCTTTTAGCAATGAAAGGTGCTTTTCAAATACAATGTATTATTATTATTATTATTATTATTATTATTATTATTATTAACTCATCTTTAAAAGAAAAAAAAGAAAAAGCTGACTCACCTGCAGAGCTAGCAGCTTCTCACTGGGCTTAATGTGTCGCTGTATCTCACACGCCACAGGCTGAATGACTTTAATACCATCTTCATAGAACACATAGAACATGTTTCCAATGCCGAGACCTGAACAAAAAAGCAAAAACAGACTTATCACACACTGTGAAGACCCCAAAATAGCATATGAGACTGCACAGTGTGAACATTTGCAACGGAAATAAGCCGACAACATTGTTATCTACGTTCAAAGCATCAAATCATTTAATCCCTCTCATCACAGTTCAGTAACCCTATTACAAACATTCAATTAACTCAGTTTAATGAATCCTACAGTGAAGCAGAAGCAGTCTAGACGTACCTTCTTCTCGCCACAAAATGTTTGCCACTGTGAGGGAGAAAAAGAGGAAAGCGTGGTTAAAAATCAATGCGAGAATCAATGGGGTCCCTTTGTGAGAGCTACCCGAACACTAACTCTCATTGAGGCAAAGAGGAGAGCGGGCTGCATGAAAGTTTTATGGAAACTGTCTCTCCCACACCACAAACAATCGATAGAGCCCTCTGCTTGGAAATAATTTGATACCAAACACTGGAAAACGGAGTGCAGTCAACACAATACAAGTACTGTAAAGCGTTTATGGTTTGTGCTGCAACACAAGTATGCTGAGAGACATAAAAATAGACTAATAAATACAAAATCTAAGACATCACATCATCAATATGGGCCGTATGGATAAGACGCCTTAGACACCCATGAGTAGTCCACAGGCTTCAAGCTCAGATGATTATCATACGTCATTAAGAGGGATCAGTGTGTTCCTTCTTCGGTGGCAAACCCAGTTCCTGCTCCTATAGCAGGTCATTTCTCATTAAATTCACTTAAAGGTGACTAATGACGGGGAAATGTCGAATGAAAGCCGCACATAACAACCTGAGTGCTTCAGTGGCTGACCTGAAAAGCACAGCAGCTGTTTGATTTCAAAAGCAGCCACCGGAGAGAAAATATGCCATCACTTAAAATGACATGACCAAAGAGTGATGTGCTAAGGAGAAAAAGTAGAGCCATTATGAAGTTATTTTGCATGTAAATTCTGCTGCTCAATCATTCTTATCCTCCGTCACAGCAGCCGCAGTGCTCTCCCCTCACGCTGGCTTTTTAACCGTGACCTTCTCTCTCATTGTTCATCCGTCCCCCGGCCTTCCCTTTGCTTCCCCGTCTTCAGGCATTCTCAGGCTACAAACCAATCTCCAGCTCAATTCACATCCGATTCTAATCTCGCCTCGATTGCAATGCTCATTCCCGCGGCCTCGTGCTCGGGTGGACGGGGGAAAAGGGGAGACAATGCCGAGCAGACACCGTGTGTCGTTAGTCAGCCTTAATCTTTCAAAAGTGCTTTGCCAAGTGTTTCCTGTGCACTCTTGCATACCTTTCATCTCATTAAAAAGTTACGCAAAAAGGAGTAGGGTCTATAGATAGGAGGGACAGAGACGGGAGGGGAGGGAAGGGAAGGGCAAAAACAATACCATTTATTTGAGATGTGCCAAAAAATGGAAAATGGAGAAAATGGGAAAGAGGAGTTGAGATGAGATCTTGTGTGCCCGGGTCTTTTCCAATAGCCCACAGTATTGATGCTATTCATCACTTGGCAGAGAGACTGTGGCTGTTCTGCTCATACAAGCAGCCCATACATCAACTTCATCATCCATATAACAAAACAAGCCGGCTGCCACTGTAGGCGGTGAGTTCACTCTTTCTGGCCGTAATAACTGTGTTTCCACCGGGGTCCCAACATTGGGAACGCCACGCTCTGCCTGGACTCTGCACTTCCTGCCCGTTGGCAAGGTTACATAAATCCAATTTGTTTACGGGAGCAGTGACAGTGGGCCAAAATGCCTTTGGTGTTTACCATAGTGGCATGGCAGGGAGACAGCGGATGCATAATAAAAGGTGGAGTGATTGTGTCGGAGGAGACGCATAATGCAGAATGTAACTGTGGAGCCTGCGGTGTGAAGGCTTTCCACGTCTTCCAGAAGTTTCTTGGAAATGTTCTGCTTTAATCATAAGGACGGATACTTTATTATAGAATGCAGTAGTCACTTTCTATGATGAAGCAGAACAGAAATGCAACTCCAAAGGGGAAATAAATATCTCTCAGTCTTTTTGCTTTTTTCCTCATCTGCATTGATACAAACAGAGACTGTCTCAGTGCAGTGACTCATTGCGTGCAGCACAGGTAAAGCAGATATCCATTTCTACAGCAATGCCAACAAGGCTTCAGATGCAGCTGCCAGCTCTCACTTAAAGCACATTGGATTAAAGCGCCCCTCAGGACCCCCCGCCTTGGGTTTTAGCTAAAGCCTCTAAACCTGAACATCAGCAGAAATGTGAATTTGCATCAATGTCTTGTCTTTTTCTAATTTTCTCACTATTGATTCTCTATAAAGAAAGTGTCCTGTTTCTATTTGTTCTTATTAGAATCAAGGATTAAGAGGACTGACTTTCTTAAGAGCTGTGAAAATAAGCTTCCTATTAAATGCAATGGGGAGCTACAATGACACACAGTTATTTATGAGTGTTATACCTGAGGATGTTTTCACCCCAAAAGTTTACTTTGATCATTTAGCCATGTTTTTTTTTATTTTATGGAGAAATACTTTGATTTGAAACTACGTTTAAGAGGCATTCAGGTATACAACTGGCGATACCATATTTTTCTGAGTAATAATAATATTCATAATTATTACAATTGTTTTGAGGCACTTTATATGACACCCAAGGACAGCAAACAGTTCATAAAAACTCTACAAGTTTAAAAGCAAACACCTGACAAACACACAAAAGACATTCAAAACAGACCCAAATGAAGGGAAAGGAGAATGATGAATATTACAGTGTCAACCAACCCTTACGATCATAAGTCACAATGTGCCGGTCCATACCTATACTATTTATTCTACCCTGTCAGAATCAGAATCAGAAACGGGTTTATTGCCAGGTAGGTTCACACACACGAGGAATTTGACTTGATGTCATGATGCATACATCAAATATAAAACAAATATGTCTGTTGCTTTTAACCCCAAACCTATTGGTTCCTACAGAAAGGCTCAGTTTTTAACTATATCTGGGCTTTGTAGTTGAATTTGACTTTACTCAAACTGCTGTTAATATTGTTTTTCTGAGGACTAATGATATGACTATTGACTATTTGTCAGAAATGTTTTGAATATTTTTTTAACAATGGCACCTCTATGGCACAGAGGGATAGGATATATCAGGCTTTGGCTCTACTACAGGCAATACTTATTCAATTCCTCTTTGTTTTGGTTTTTTATTCAAATAATTTGTATATTGTTGGGGAATAATTTGCCCTGCATGTCCTCCTTCGCCCTCTGACGCAGCTGACCAGCCGTTATCTCCCATAAGGAGGGGCTGCCCTAGCATATTGTTGATGTTTATGACCGGGCAACTCTCTGTCAGAGATAGTTATTGTTGTGGGACACCTGGAACACATCCTTCTCGGGGCTTGTTGACTTCAAGGTGTGAAATCTTCGAGGCCATAAGCGTCAGCTGCAAGAGATTCAGTGTCCCCGTCTGTTTAGTCTATCTGTTGATTAGCATCCAAACTAGTTAAAACCTCATGCAAAGGAAGGTCTCGTCAGAATTGATTGTGGCAACTTGTAGTGTAGTGTGTAGTCAGAACCTCTGACTCTTGACTTGTCTTGTGAATTCTCCGGCTCCAAATAAACCATCAGTGTTTGACATCCTGCATGATGGTGACTACTCCTGCATTGCTACACAGAACTTTCCCCCACATATATAATAAATAGATATAAATAGACGCACAGAGAATTTCACAAGCCTTGTCTTAAAAATAAAACTGCTTAATATGTAGTTTACAAAAGGAAAGGTAGAAAATGAAACCTCCATTCAAGGAACTGAGAATCATAAAGCATTGTGAAGTATTTCTTTGCATCAACTTGAAAGCACCCTGATTAATAGGGGGTCAAACAGGAAGTCATGCAATTGTAACTCTCCGAACAAAAGCAGAATTACAAGGTATCTTTTCCTGCATGATTTGCAAAATGAAAGAGATAGTTTATACAGTAGAGGAGAAGTCTCAAAGGGTAATATAAATGGGGAGATATTTCATGCCCAGTTCAAAGCGTCCACCAACTGCTGGTGGCCTTTCTAGTGCTAAAGCGCTTCACTACTTTATGCTTCTCACCTGACTTCCTCTCTCTGCTCCACATAGTCATGACTCACATAGTGATCAAGTCCCCCGTCTGACTAAAGTCTTTCAGCTGTTATGTACTACCCATCCATTTCTCAGGCAGAACATTCTTCAAGACTTTTCTCATTGCTTTTAGCACCTCTGTAAAGATTGAGGGCCAACTTCAACGGCAAGTCCCCGGCAGTACAATTTACAGGCAGGTAGAGTCAGGAAGCTTTCAAAAAAAAATAACTAGACCTGACTGCGCTAGAATTAGAGCCGGAAGCCTGTGGAGGACTGGGGGCTGTATCATCTTTTTATGAGGACAAGTATTCAACAGACTTAATCCTTGGAGAAAAGTCCCGGAGAGTTGTAAAAAATATATAAGCCACTGGAGAGGGTTTGAAACATTGAAGCATGAACAATAAAGTGTCTGTGCTCATCACAAACGTAAACTGCAATAGGAAACACGGAGAGTTAATATGAACTGCCTTACAATGATAGGAAAGGCCAGATTTCTTCTAACAACAGTGGATTTTCAATATAATATATACATTTTAAGTCACAATATCAACATGACCTTTTAGCCAGGTTATGTTAACATTCTTTTTGTTTTATTCTGTGTAAAGTTATCATCATAAATAAGGAATTGTACATTTTTCTGAGATTGTTGTGTGCTTGCTTTGTCCTCCCTGCTTTATGTTTTGCATTGTTCAATTCGTTTTGGCAGTATTTTAAAGAATGCATGATCAACAATGTTCTTAAGCTGCACTGCTGTAACCGGGTATTGCATGCATTTTAAACTTCCTGTTGAATTTACAATGTTTATTTCGCAAAGCTCGTAGCATGAAACTCAGCCGACAGTCAGAGCTGCTGGGACTGTGGACTCCTTGTTGCTGACAGCGTGTCCAACACCGTGTGATGGGGAGGGACGCCTCTGATGGGAACATGGACGCTATTTTGGCACGAGTTGATGTTTTCTATTCAGAGGATATGGAGCAGACAGCATGGCGGACAGAGTAAAACAGAATCTTTTAGCAGACTTTAGAGTGGAGTGGTGGTTTTCATCGTATCTGAGTGATTGCATTGTTTTCTCCCAACCAATCACTTCATCAGCTGATGTCCCTGATTAGATCTTCCTCTCGGCCTGGATGTGTGAAATTAAACTGTTTGA